GATTCGCTTATAAAAAGTCAATGAGAGCGTTGAAAAATTATTCAGTGTTCACATGCCTGAGTACAAACACCGTGTAACCTTAACTAAACAGTTCACATGAATCATTGTAAACTTTATTGTAAATAAAGCGCTTTGTGTCTAGTTCGCTAGCTGTTAGCAGCCTATCATAATGTTAGTGGACTAAGTCAGCCTCTGCCTCGTTCAAAGTAAATTAATAATAAGCTTACCTCGGATTTGATATAATCCTTCTTCGGCTAGGCTTGTTCATAACAGTCCAGTATGTTTACATAAAAGGCATTAAACTATATGTAGCTAGTCAGCAGAGCAATCTTTTGAGATTGTTGAAAGCACACAGACAGACGAAGCTAGAGCGGAGGATCACATGACTCGCGGCTCCACAGAACACTGACTTTGAATGGAGAGGTAGACAAAATATAAATATTGATAACAAAATAAACCATACGAGATATCAAGCAGATATTTACATAATCAATACCTGATTATGTCACGGGTTGAATACAGTTGAAATGGCATTTCTAGCCCACGGTATGCCTGAGATATTAAGGTTCAGCTTCTCACGAGTTGAATACAGTTGACAGCAGCTGTTGACAGTGTCTGCAGAGACAAGCAGGGAGCGACAACCAGACGTGCATTTCTGCATTCAGTTTCAAACAAATAGAGCAGCCTGTTGTGTTATTACACTGTTGTATTATGTCATGATATTAAACAAATTGAAGGAACCGTGGCATTTTATAATTACAAAGACGTTTTCCTTCCAGCGCGTATTATTTGACTGCAAGTCAGGGAGCGACATAGTGAGAGACGGTGATGAGCAAACATGACACCAAATATTAATATATACAGCCCTTTGTTGTGTTATTCCACTGTTGTATTATGTGAAGATTAAACAAAATGAAGGAACAGTTACGATTTACAAATATGCCGGCGTTTTGTTTCAGCGGATCTTCTGTATTGACTGTAAGTCTATGGAGCAGTGAGACGGTATGCCTGGAATGAGCGACTTACGCAAATACCATTCATCCCATCTCAGTAACACTGACAGCTGAATTCGTGACAATTTTCTCTACGATTGTCATCTATTATATGTGTATAAAGCTTAAGAATGGCATAATGTGAGCACAAAAGCGGCAAGAGGAAGAGGAAAAGCATAGCAAGAGCTGCTAGACCGGGAGAGTCACCGACGCATAGCTAGCAATGGCCCATGATTTGTCTATGGACAAATAGACAAAATATAAATGCCAATTATAGAAAAACCATAAAAGATATTAAGATGATTTTTGCACCATTTGTAGCTGAACGTCTCACGAGTTGAATAAAGTTGAAATGGCGCTTCCCAAGGTATGCCGGAGATATTAAGCTTCCAATTTTGCCCCATTCATTTCCAATGGGAAAATTTCTGTAAAAAAAGCTGAATATCTTAAAAAGTATAAATGTTACAGACAATAAAAATACAAGCACACATGTCCTTAAGGAGATACACAGTTTGATACCTGAATGGCCCTTGTAGGTGAAAGTATGCTGCACACATTTTGATAACTTCATGGCTTTTGTAGCTGAAAGTATGCTGAAGACATTAAGTGCCAAAAAACGGATGGAAGAAATCAGAATAATAAAGAACAAGATAACATAGTGTGGATGCTTCACAGCATTCACACAATAATAAAGAACAGGATAACATAGTGTGGATGCTTTACAGCATCCACACAATTGCAAAAAATAAAGTAACGCCTGCCTTACCCTTTAATCTTAAATATTAGTCCCCACAGTATTATACAACAATGTGAAATCCAGTAGAAGAAAACTAAGTACATTTCCATAATAATATATCTGTAACCTTGTACTTAAGTACAATTTTGTGGTTCTGTACTTCGACTTCACTACATTTTAGAGACAAATACTATATTTTTTACTCTACTACATTTACCTGATAGCTTTAATTACTAGTTACTTTTCTGAATTAGATTAGATATAATCTAATAATATGATATGCATTAATATGAAATGTGTCATTTTTTCATAGAGTCCTTTTACTTTTGTTACTTTTAGTTGTATTTACATGCTAATACCTTGGTACTTTTGCTTAAGTAACATTTTGAATGTAGGACCTTTACTTGTAACAGAGAAGTTTTACACTGTGGTATTGGTACTTTTACTCTAGCAAAGGATCTGAGTACTTCTTCCAGCTCTGCTGAAATCTGACAAAAACAAGAGGCATGTTTTTCTGCAGTAACTCCTGCAAGTTTCAGGTTTTTGTGAGCTGGGTTCACAGAAACACAAACAGAACTCAAATT